GATATTTAAAAATAGCAGCAACATCAGAGATGTGCAGAATGACAGCAGCAGGTTAACTCAGATAGAAACTGTGCAAAATCAGCATGAATGTAAAAACTTATTAAAGGTTGTTGAGCATAAAGCATGAAAATAAAATATATCACACTCGCCAGAGATGCTGAATATTTATAAACTAAATCCATCCTTTCTTCACTACATAGGGCCCTATTTAGTGATTACGCCATTTTAAATGAGTGTCTGAAAGGCTAGCGGATGAAAGAATGGTGGACTCGAAATTTCCCACAATGCACCTTGAAAAGCAGTGATCATCCATGGTCACTGGATGAGCAGATATATCCCAGAATGCTCTCCTTACAAAGCATCATGGGATTTGTTGTCACAGCGGCCCGCTGTCGCCACCCGACAGTGGTGACTAATACAAAGATGGCAGCAGGCACCGTGCGGTGGAGATGGAGTTACGGGATTCTACACCACCTGGACAGAACTTCAGCATAGAAATATTACAAAAAATAAGGACAGCTATTGTGTTTCTTATTTCTAATTTAAAAACAAACCAAAAGAAATCAGGAGAGCCTTGATTCTCCTCACATTTTCACTATAGAATAGAGATTTAAGGTTTAATCTATTACCACAGAGAAACCACAGCTCTACTTTGAGACTCATCCTACTGAACAACTTGGCAACAACTAACAATTAATAAAATCTGTAAACTACTAATAATATCTGCCCTGAGTTTTTCATATTTGTGGAACTTCATTAAATCCAGAGTCAGTCCTAAGTGCTGCTATCTGCCATGATGGAATGCCTTTTCAAGGAAGGAAAACAGCAAGAGAGGATTATGAAGCTGATCTGAGCCAAACGGAACAAAGAAATAGTGAGTCTGCATTAGTGCTGGCTTAATGTGGCGGGAAAGTGTAAACAGGGGGTTAGTGCTCAGGGTTAGTGTTTAGGGGCCAGTTTGGGATTCAGCCTTGATGACCTTCTGCCCTCCATTGGTTCCCGGCCCCCATTTTAGGAACACCTGGGCTGTGTCAGATTATTCGCCCTCTTTCACTACATAGGGCACTATATAGTGATTACGCGATTTTAAATGAGTGTCTAAACGTCCAGTGGATAAAAAGTAGTGGACTTGAAATTTCCCACAATGCACCTTGAAAAGCAGTGATCATCTATGGCCACTAGATATATCCTGAAATGCTTTGAGCAGAGAGCTCTTCTCATAAAGCATTATGGGATTTGCTGTCACAGCGGCCCGCTGCCACCATAGGCTGTTGCTACCCGACAGCGGTGACTAATAACGAATATGGTACAGAGACCGCGCGGTGGAGGAGGAGTTACGTGACCAACGGAGCAAAAAGCAGTGATCGTCTGTCTGAACGGTCAGTTAACTGAGTTCACTATAATGTTCACTATTTAGTCCCTAATCTACATAGTGAATGAGGGATTTAGGGGTTAGGGCGGATGTTCAGAGACAGGCAGCTGGAGGTCAACTAATTACATTTTCTGAAAAACTATATTCTGACCTTATATTAGCTGGTTAACAAGCTAATCAAAATCAAAAGAAAAAAAAGCTTGAAAGACTGACTCCCATTATGATGAAGTGCTTCCAAAGGCTGGTTAATGAACACATTGTCTCCAGTCTGCCGCCAACATTCGAGTTGGACCAGACCCCGCTCCACTGAGGACGCCATCTCTGCTGCTCTCCACCTGAGCCTGGCACACCTGGAGGAGAAGAACACTCATGTGCGGATGCTGTTCCTGGACTTCAGTTCAGCTTTCAACACCATCATCCCACAGCATCTGATGGGCAAACTGGAACAGCTGGGATTCAATAGAAACCTCTGCTATTGGCTGCTAGACTTCCTCACCAATAGACTTCAGTCAGTCCAGGTTGGACCCCCTGCTGTTCACCCTGATGACACACGACTGCGTCTCCAGGTTCACCACCAATCGTGAAGTTTGCAGACGACACTACAGTGGTGGGCCTCATCAATGACGACAACGAACAGGACTACAGAGAGGAGGTGGAGCAGCTGGTGGTGCAAAGATAACAGCCTGAACCTGAACGTGGAGAAGAAGAAGGAGATCATGGTGGACTTCAGTCCGGTCTAACCACGCTCCACTGGTCATCAACAGCTCAGCTGTAGAGGTGGTCAGCAGCACCAAATTCCTGGGGGTGCAAATCACAGACAACCTCACCTGGACTGGAAACACCTCACTGGTCAAAAGGGCCCAGAAGTGCTTGGACTTCCTGCGGTGGATGAGGAGAGCCCACCTGCAACCCCCCCACCCCATCCTCCCAACCTTCTCCAGAAGCACCATAGAGAGCGTTCTGACCAGCTGTCTCACTGTGTGGTGTGGAGGCTGCAGCGCCTCAGACTGGAAGAAGGTGAGAACAGCAGAGAGGGTCATGGGGGCTTCTCTTCCCTGCATTAAAGACATTTCATCCTAGTGCTGCGTGTCCTGAGCCCATGACATCATCAATGACCCCTCACCCCCCACCATGGACTGTTCTCCCTGCTGCCATCTGGGAAGAGGCTTTGAAGCATCTGATGGCGGACCAGTAGATTCTGCAACAGCTTCATCCCCACTGCCATCAGACAGCAGAACTGTTGAGAAAACTCTAAATCATGTCAAAGACTCTGCATCAATCTGATAACACCAAACCAAAAACACTGGTTATTTGCACCATATATATTTAATGCACTAGATTAGATTAGATTAGATTAGATTAGATTAGATTAGATTAGATTAGATTAGATTAGATGAGCTTTATTGATCTCACAGCGGAGAAATTCACTTGTCACATATTGGCATAGAAGTCAAAGAAGGTGGAAAAGGTGCATTAAGAAACCACTAATGGATTTCTTGAGATAAAGAGATGATTAACCTGTCTGAGTAATGAATGAGGCTGGCCACCAGCCCTGGATTCCCAGTCCATCCACGCCTGTGGTACTGTGCAAATAATCAGTTTTTCAGTTTCCTTTTTTCCTTTCACTCATTGTCAGGTGGTGGTGGATGATTGGATTGCATGGAAAACAGTAGAAACAAATCTGATTGTTTTTTTAAATGGAAATCGTTTTGGAGGTTAATGCATCTTATAGCTGTTCCAGGCGTAACACTGGGGCTGTTCAGGAAACACCTGGAGGCATAGGGCTAATCGCTTATGAATCAGAAGTGGAAGCAAATCATTAAACCATCAACGTCGTCTCGTTACATAAAAGTTGAACACAGGATTATTTACAGAATTACACACAGCCTGCCATGACTTATAAATCCTCTCCCACTGTTGTGGTGTTAAAGGAAGGAATCAGTTCTAAAACACACCAATCATCTCGTTATCATGAGAAAACAGCTTTCATTGTCTTTAGATAAAGAGAAAATTAACTCGTTTTCTCGAGAAAACCACAGAGAAAAATTATCAGAGGGACACAACCGCTCTGGACTTCCGTACTATTAATGCTTTTCTTTTGCACCATGTTTTTTCTCCCACACTGTTTGCATTAAAGAAAGGAAATGTTATGAAAGCTGTGCAAAATGAAATTTCATTATTATACACTGTGTATACAAAATGGCAATAAAAGTCTCTAAGTCTAAATATGCCCACATCTATAAAGAATCCATATTAGTTTAAAATAAAATTCAGGGTTCAGCTACTGGGTCATCCACTAATCCCTGGACAGGGCACCGGCGCTCCAAAAGGGCTCCAAAGCGGGGCGTCTCTTTGGCTCTTCACAATCGCTATTGAGCATTTTTCCTCTGGATAAACTTTACATGCACAAGTGCAGTCTCACAAA